GGTTACCAAATTCTGTGAGATATCAAACCTTGGAAAATTGGTAGTCCATTAACTGGGAAGGGCTAAGTACTGTCACTCTCTCTCTCATAAGGGCTTTACGGAGTGAACCACTCTGATCTTTCAGACTTCAGTATTCATTTTTTAACCATCCTTTCCCTTCCACTGTCTACATAATCTTACTGTCCATTTCAGATAGGGAGAGAGAAAACCGGCAAACCAACAGGTTGTCATCGAGTGCAAAGAAATGAGAAACGTTGGGTGTCCGTGCCCGCGTTAAGGCATTCAATACCAATCGACCTCCTCCGATATATTGCTGATCAGGGTGATAGTAGTATTGAGACACTCTACTATGGGTTATTCAGTCATGTGTCATAAAGAAAAAAAACATATAGAAGTGCAGAAGCCCGTGGATGATGTAGTTGTGATGTATTCGTCCGTGTCTCATCAGCCAGAATGAACTTCTACAGTTGAGGGCACGCTGGTTACGATCAGTATGATGTATACCAATTGGTAAGCCGGAGTTACAATCACCTGTGATCTGGACGGTGAGTAATGAGCTGATGTACGTCACATCCAGGTTCAGGTAAATTAAACGGAATAAACCGCAATCCACTAGTGGGCTATCTAAATGCTTGCAGTATATTTCCCCCCGTACTTTTAAATTGTTTATCCTGATGTGCATAGGTTGAACTGCATTTTTTGGCATTCGTTTCATTTAAGGGAAAACCTGATATATCAGACTTAAAAACATAAACGGCGCTAGTATCGACAACCGGTTGTCTGATTTTACCCATTCTTTGGTTACTTTTATCTCCATGTCCTTCTGATTTGATAAATTATTCAATTCCAGTCCTCTCCAATTTTCAGGAAACCGAACAGATGATAGTAGTTTGCTCTAACTTTAGATGACCACTATCCGAGTTGAGTTGAACACGTGCAGTTTCCCGAATACAGTTCACACGATACACGACTATCTTGAGTGGCGGGGGGGGGGGNGGGAGGGGGCGTTCGTACTTACTTGCTTGTTTCACGAGTTTGTTTTCCATTTTTCGCTCCAAAAGATGATTTATGACATGCTCTCATCGTGAGAATCGCTTCGCCATAGGCGTGTACGCACTCCGGAGTCTTGGCGCGAGAAAGACCGACCAGAATATGCAAATGTATGCATATTGGCTGAAATGTGACAAATGCGCATAAAACTGCATGATTCCGCAATTGGACAATACATTGTTGAAGTGCCATTGCAAACGTCTCTTTGGAGACTAAATATATCGCATAGAAATAAACCCTATAATTGTTAGAATACATTTTTATCCCGTTTGCAGGCCGAATGACTGATTCACGTTCGAGTTGCAATGTATCTGCTCCGGAGCACTGTGTACACGAAGAATAAGAGGGAGAACGATTAGCGTCTTGTATCGAGTAGTGCTGGGGTTTTTGTCTCTCCTGGACGACCGGTGAAACAACAAGCAAGCGGCTTTATTGTAACCCGTTTGCAAGCGATATTTTGGCGTGAGCTAAAAGTTGTATAGCTGTGCTGGTTTGAAAATCCAATTCGATATGATTTGCGGTCAGAAGGGAAGTTGATTGGTCAATAATAATAATTATTATTATTTTACTTCACCGATTTTTGAATAAAAATATTCTGGATAGGGAGAGAAAAGGATAACCTAGCATCTTTCATTCAGATTCGTTTTGACGAGTCAACTCCTCACAAATTACCTCCGTCAGAATGAAGTATACATGCAAAAAGTTGCTTGTTTCGTATATGGTAACACGTAAACACAAATAAAGTTGATTAATTTTGGATTAAGTGTAAATATGTCTCGTCCAACCTATTTGTAAATTAAACTATAACTAGTAGCGAAATACGCGCAGATATTACCATGAGTTCAGCACCACATACTAACTTGTCCCAGCAAGAGTATATTCTTACAATGGGCTGATATTCACTTAAAAGGGTGCTTTTGCACGCACCCCAGGTACGGCACACGCACATTAGTGGGACACTCCAACCTAACAGTTGATGGGATCTACATGTTCCTTCGTAATAGGTCAGAGTGTAACATCGTGTACTAATTGCAATGAAAATAAATGCGACTGAGTCTGCGATGATGCTACTGATGCGAGCCGTGGTTTTACGAAGTGAAACGAGATGCGCCTGTTAACTGATTTCACTTTCAATCCGAAATTCGGGTTTTTGACTAGTTTTCATCAAACATTTAGCCAGCTCCAGTGAACTAAGATGAACACATGCGCACGTTGCTAGGACAGATAAACGATCAGCATTCTTCAGATACTCAGATTACTCATATTAACGTATTTTTGCTTGCACTGTCGACATGCAACCTCTCTCTCATTTGTTGTATTGTGCATATTGTTGCAGGAAATCGCCTGTGCTTTGCAGAGCAAATGCAACATAATACCCATCACAGACAATTTCGTTTGGCCGGATGCTGACAAACTGCCAGAGGACATTCGTCCGGTGATCGAATACAATGCTGTGAAGTAAGTTTTCACGGTATCTGATGCAACAGAAAAAGCACCTAACTCTTGGATCGTCCATTTCGAACTATGATTATCTTCTCACAATTGCCGTTCTCGACGATAAAATAAAGATATCGGGGTTTAAACGTGGTAGATAGCAGACATCCAGCTCCGTATAGAGAAAAAACAACCCACGGGAAGAACTCCCATGTTGAAAGCGTTGCAGTCTAATATTGGAGCAGGGGTGTCTCCTCTCGCTACATCATCGCTCATTAGCTAGTGATACTATTTAATGATACTGTTCAATAACTTTTAACACCGAAAGCTTCGCTTTGGAATTTTGGTACACTGAGGTAACTTTTAATTATGCCGAATTTCTCCTTTCATGCATTCTTTTCTTTGGGTAAACTTAGATTTGAATATACTAAACACTGATTTGATACAGACTTGTAGACAAAACTGTTGATTAAAAACTCAGAACTCCAATCCATCACGTCTATCTAACATCCCATAACTGAGCTCACTATTAGTAAAGAGGAACAATGTGCAACTACGCCACCTGATCTACCTGAACGGCACTCAGTTGAACTACACCGAGATCCGATACTTGTCATTATCATTCTCGTTGGGATCGGCTCCTTGCAAAATACACAGAAGGCCTAAAAAATGATATTTAGATGTAGTTGAGGATATCACTCTTCAGTCTTATCAACCTAAAAACACGTTCAGGATGTATAGTATACTGTTACGTTAAATACATATCTCAAATGAATGCATGTCCGGCGATAAAGATACCATGAATGACCGACTGACATCGAAAGGCACGTCTCCATGCACCGGCTTTGAAGAACAACAAAATACAGTTNATATATATATATATATATATATATATATATATTTACCACCGGCTTGAAAACAAGCATGGTGTTAACGCAACAACAATGACAGTGAAAGGGGATAGGTGGATTAGGATACAGAACATGGTGAAAAGTGGGTGAGACAGTTAAACATGGAAAATACAAGATAACAGAATTTTGTGTGTGTTTCACCGTACACTTTTTGCAATTTTTTTGTTGTTTGTTGTTTCATAGCTCCACATGATTGTGTTTTATGACCGACAGATCGTTGCATCATCTGCAAGAAGCCCCCATACTGATGACAGTCATTCACTCAAGGAATTCAGACCACATTTATTCAACACTCGTCATGCTGTACGTTATGATCCGGGTCTAATACAATCCCGTTTTGATTATAATAAGGTCATAACCCGATTACTCCGCAGATTTAGCAAGGTACTTCACTGTAGCTTGCCACCGAAGGCTGATCACCATCACACAGACTGTGACACGCGCTGGATTCTTCGCACTGTTCTATCCGCTTTCACACTGCAGACGTGTTTTTTATCAAATGCTTCTGAAATTCAAACGGCAGATTTCCCGGTTTTCCATATAGCAATCTCCCAATAATTGACCCACTGTTCTTTCGCGTTCATTTCCATAGACGAATAGAGGTAAAGTGACATACTTGAGAATAAGAGTCACAAATGTGAATGGAGGTCAACTGAGTGGTACTTTTCAGAAAGAATCAAGCCATTTGATTGTGTCTCGTTGAACTTTGGGGATTGGTGAGCATCTTGCTGGACAGTTGGATTTGTGAGTGATGATTTTGTGGTAGATTTGGTTCTCAGTTTCTTTGCCAACCAACAACCTAACTGGTTACTCATGAAAAGGTTTTTCTATAAAAACTCATATACTAACAATGCGAAATGTGCTGCGAAAGATGATAGCTTTTGGATGAATAGTTCTACAATCTCCGGAAAGGAAGTTTGTATTCCAACAAGTGACAAGTGAAAAGTGGCTCAGTTTCATTTTTACCAGGCTATCTGTTTGTGGACTGTTTGAAGCTTGGCAAAGCAAGAGATTTATTGTCGCTAGCTAGCTTTTAACTTTGCGGTAGAAGAAATCGTCGTTCGTTTGCCCGCTAATATAGCATAACGAGAGTTGAACATCCGGGATGAGCTGAAAAAACCACAATGGCTATCTGGAAAACTCCTGGAACCGATGGATGGTTGACCAATTACAGGACTCAACTGAAAGTACGCACTGTTTATAGAAAACAATAATCGTGATTCAGCATGCATGTAATGCAAATCGATGACGGTTGATGTGGAGATTTGATATGGCCATAATAAGAGGTCATGCCTCTCAGCTGACAGCACCTGCACTGTACGAAAACGTAAGCCGTATCTCTCCGTTGATTTTAATCTCGCTGAAGTTACCGATATTCTCACAACCCGAACATAAAACCGTTATCTTCTATTATCTGTCAACCAACGTCATATTGTACCGGGCAATGGTGAAGTATGATCATTGATTTCAGTTCCTTAACGTTGTTTCATGGTTGGTGAAGCCGATTGGGCGATCATTTTAGTACAAGAGTCATCATAAGCGCATGTGAAGTTTTCTTTTGAGAAGTGCACATTGTGCACCTAAAAATATATCATAAGGATTACCAGTTATGATGTCTGCATTTATATGTATAAATAAACATCCTGTTGATATACATACATTTTCAGTTGGAGCCATGAATATCAGGATGCTTGTATTGACAAGGTGGAGAAATTTATGGTCAAATCTACGGACAAGACTGTAACACCCGGTCGATGGCACGTGTCCACTCCCCTTCCGTATCAACAACAGCAACAACAACTACAACTACCCATAATACCCCTTTCACCGACTCCCCAAAGCACTCCGATCGCAAGTCCACTGACCGATTCTGTACAGAGCAGTAGATTAAACCTATCCTAGAGAACAAGCCCAAGATTGTTTTATGCGTGCCAATGCGTTTTTACTTTGGTTCCTTGGTGCATGTGTCCGTGTTTCTCGCTGTCCGTTTCTCAGTCCTTTCATCTCCAATCATGATACATGTATATCGTGTGATTTCGATCGCCAACCCACACCTTCGTGTGCTCAACTGTAACTCAGTCTAGCCACCGCATTGACTATCCTCCACCTCCTCCACATCACCATCATTTTCACCTACTTTGATTTTCGGGTTCTCTCTCTCTTTTAGCCCGCCTTATCTCTCCCCCACTTCTGTTGTCACATCTCAGTGCCGGTTAGTCTTTCCACGAGGACCTCCACCCCGCAGCCATTACACTACACTCTCACGCTCTTCGTTGGTGCGTTCTGTTTTCCCGGATTTCATACCATTGCATATTAGAGATATATCAATAAGTGGTATGCAGTGTTGGCATTTTCGCATGAGAGAGAACAATGTCGCAACACCGGACCTACAGATTCACGGATATCGTTTTCACGAGCCGTCCACAGAAACGAATATTTCAAATTTTAGTCAATACCCATTTCCTTCCTCCAGCACCCCTCGTTGATGTCCACCCTTTCATCCGTTGCTATATGTATGATGATCTATCGTACTAAAAGTTTCCTGCATCCAGTCCCATTCTATTTGCGCCACCTCATTTCAAAAATTGTTTTCCTGTCCTTTATGTTCCCTTTCTTCAATAATAAGAACAACAACAACCCCTCACAAATGCGATCCTCAGCTTCCCAGTTTGACCTCATCAATTGTCTTCTCAATCCCCGTTCGGTTTTTTAAGGCTAGTGATTTTTGCTAGTCTTTTACTTGTGAACAGCGATCAATCAGAAAAATATTTATAAGTTGCGTTGCTTTTTTCATTCTCTGTCCCTCAACATTTTAATGGAAATTGTTCCGTTTCGTGTCCGGATATGTCATAGGTCACTTGATCAACCAATCCGATGAGAATGGCATTCTTCTTTACACGTGGTGTGAAGTGCAATATTTCTCGTCTCACCAGTCAATCGTATCGATCCGGATAGGAAGAATGGGATAGATTTCTCCTATCCTTTAGTTTTGGGTTTGGGTCTCCCTATACCGCTTACTTGCACCACTTACTTTATGATAAGATCAAGTGTTCATTTTCCACTCGATGATCAATCCATTACGATGAAAGCAAGTGAGGTGATGAGAGTTTCACAACAGTTGGTTAAATATGTGTCCCAGTTTGACCTAATTTCCGTGGTGTCGGTGCACGTGACTCAGTTCAACAAGTACCTCTTCGAAAAGCGGTTAAACAAATGTGTTTGTTACAAGTTTGCAAGAGAACTTCTGTTTTCATCCAAAGGGAAGAAGACAAAGTTAGAGTATCAAGCATGGATTGGAGGGCCTGGTGCCTCTGAATAATCGAATGGGCTAATTGAAGCTTGATACTCTAAATTGCTTGAGTCGTTCGCACAAGGAGATAACCGTCGACCGTCTAGCTCAGGGGTAAGGGATTGAAATCCCGACCCGAAGGTTCGCGGTTCAAGTCCTGACAGGGACATAGAAAGTGCGCACTGCTGACAAGTCCCCAAGAGCACGAAACAGCTGTCCAGTGCTCCTTGTCGCTTATCACAAAACATTTTGGCAAGGGAGAGTTCAGTTTAAGCACAATAACACCAGTGGTTGATTAAGCATTTGCAATCTGATTCACCAGAGATGTGATCATTTTCGCATTATCCTAGAACTATTGGATTATTTCCGAAACACAATGCACATACGGCAGCACATACACATGTACACATGTAGTCAAACATCAATAAATTAGCCATTTGATTGTTTTGTCCTTAAAGAGCGACAAAGCAACTTAAAGCAGTGATTTTAGAATTTACAGTTTTAATTCATGTCATGTTTTCCTACGTTCGGCAATGTTGCTCGATAAACCTTAGCATACCATTGATGCGTTTGGTCGACTTTCGTGCACCCGCATTATCCACAGCTCTCTGATGGGAATGCCTATCCATAGGGACCAGGTGAATCAGTGACTCAATTACGTGAGTCACCAGTGGAAGCAGCTCGTGCACTCGTCAGTGCGTACGCGAATGGTCTGTGGGGATGTGTTGGCAGTTTGCTCTATTGGTCTCGATATACCCTTCACATAAGCTTGTACAGAACATTTACCGAACAATAGTTTGGGTGAAATTCGGCGTGAACTTTCATGGTGATCGTGCAGCACAATTCGGTGGCCTACACACACACACACACACACACCGTGGTACACCTTCCGTATAGTCCACCCAGACACGGGGAGCTCAACCATCCTGGTGCTCTCAGACACATGCAATCGGATTACCTGATAGTCGGAAGGCCCATATGTGACCATATTTCGAGCGATTGATCAATCAGGAATAAAACAAATTATTGAATATTCCTCCTGATAGTTACCATAATGCGTTACCTGAAGGAAATAGCTCTTTCCCAAGGTCGCTGAGGTTTTTACCTGAATTCTCTCTATTAAGGGGTTTTTTAGTCCGAATGCCGCGTTATCCGGCTTGCACACACTGTGTCGAATACTGCAGTTTTGCGTCGCGTTATGCACTTTAGAAGCACTGAACCGATAAATGTGCACATCAGTCTATTCAAGGTCGAGCAGTGGATGAAATGACAGGCGGCGGTAATTCACTTCCGGTCGTTCGTGATATGCTTTCTTAGCTGAAAGAATCTTGAAGTTCCTGAGGCTCTACCAATTGTCCGTTTGTAATAATGAAACAATTGCCATTAGCTCGTGTGATGTCCACTGACTTTGAGGTAAATGAGCGGTTGAAATTCAATCCCTTCAACCCATTAGGAATAAAGTTATAACTCATTCATCCCCGTCTGAATAACTGAGTCTATCCCCGGCCTGTAAAAGTCGATTCTTTCCATATATGTTTGAATGCACGAGGAAACACGTGTAAAACTCGCAGTTTATGAAGCTTGGGCTGCTAGGCTGAAGCGAAACGCTAAAATGCAACCTCGTAAGTTTTTTATCGATATTCTTAAAATAGACCAGTTATTGCGAGACATCTCCCTTATAGCTCATTGAAAAGGGAAAAAATAGAACGAGTAAGTTCTGTTCCGTGATCAGGGATACCAAGCTCAACTCAGAATCATGCTATGCAACTTTTGGCTTCAAGCAAATTCTCTATTATGTGATGCGAATGCGCAGTAGCTTTAGTGAGAATGCTTATCCGCATGCGGTCCCTTTTCGGTTCAACGTCACTCAATGAGTCCGTTTTTTTCTCCGCCAATCCGATGATTACGGCACATCCTGACCTGTTCCGGATTGTCGTTTGAATTGATGACAATTTATGAAAGGTTATGTGTAGTGGCCAGGTGTAGTGTTCTGACCCTTCTGTAGTGCTGCCCTATTGCATCTTTAAAAGGACATCAACCGTCACCTTCTTTGTTGTCGTCCATTACACAGTTTCTACACGAATGAAATGTAATAAACAAATGAATAATAGAATATATTGCAGCGCGTAGAGTACGGATAAAACGAAGTGTGAACTGAAAAGCTAGTACTGCAATGTGTGAGGTGTGATACGTGCACTAAGTTACAAAAGGTGTGTTGTGGTATATCCTGCACAGGCAAAATGCAAAACAGTTTGATCAGTTACCCGATGGTCAAGTGAGTAGTATGCTTACGTTTCACCTTTAGGGTCTTGGGCTCGATCCTCAGTTAGGCGAACGGATTCGCAATGATGATGAGACCCAACCAAGTCGAAACAACTCTACAGTGCTTCCTAGCTTTTCAGTTCACTCTGTAAATGAAGAGCTTCAATTTATTATTAAATTCATTTCGAAGAAGCGATTCTTTGATGAGAGTTTAAATTATCCCGCAGCTCACTCCCATGGGATANNGCCTTGCTTTTGACTCCGTGAAACACGGGCGTACATATATAGCCAGTATGGAAGAAAAACAATGCACACATACTTGTTTTGAATTCACTGATCCTTGTCTGTGAGTTCTCACCGAATAAAAGAACAATAACATCAACAGTTACATTTAGGGTAAGTGTTAAAAATATCGAAAGTTTGACATCGGATTGTTTAGCTTGAATAGAAGCATGTTAGAGAAAAGAGCAAAATCTTCTGGATTTCACTGAATGCAGCAACGGACGACTCGTTCGGGGCCACGGGAGCAGTATATATATATATATATA